GGGGGGGGGGGGGGGAAGAGAGAGATGAGAAGAATTAACAGTTGTATCAAGAACTTGTTACAGGCTTCAACTTCAAATAAATAGAAGCCCTGCTTTTCACTTATTTTTTGTATACCACACAAAATGTGCTAAGAGGTGCCTAATTATCAATATTATTTTTGACTGCTCCTCTGCTGTGAAGAGCGTGGATGGTGGAGGGATTCGAAAGATCAGCAGAGTGAAAGGTCAACAAGCAGGAGGGCAACTAATGAGGTGCAGCAAAAAGATGAGAAATCCCAAGTTCGTAGAGATGATAATGCTTGGCGCCATGATGGGTACTTTGAAATGGAGGCTGATCCAAAACCACTAGCAAAGAAAAGGCCTTCATTTAGAGAGAAAAAGATTGTGGTGGATTCTCAAAATGCTGATGAAGCACCAGTAGAGCCTGTGAAGCCAAGTCACCCCGACCACCCTTTGGTAGGAAACGAAAAAAGGGAAGAGAGAGGTCATCCTGACCGCCCTTTGGTGGGAAATGAAAGAAGGGAAGAGAGAGGAGACTATAACTCCCGTTACTCAAAGAGACCCGAGAGGCCATATGCACGGTATGGGGATACAAAGAGGGCCGAAGCACAAAGGGGTAACTTTTCATCAAGGGACAGGTATGATGGTGGTGGCAATTACAGAGGAAGAGATAGGTTCACTGAAGTGCAAGGGTATCGTCCAAGTGGTGTCAGTGTTGAGAAGTGGAAACATGATCTTTTTGATGATGCTAATAGGAGTCCAACCCCAAAGAATGAAGAGGATCAGATAGCCAAGGTCGAAGCTCTCTTGGCTTCATAGCTATGAGTTGCTCGGGCATGACACTTCAGTTTCTTGATCATACGTAGCCTGCTGTGTGTGTTTTCAGGTTTCAGTCAACTTTTTGGACCTGATCTATTTTGCTCAAGTTCGAAATTAGTTTAAAGAATATCTCAAAGTGCAAGCTTATTGTTGCTGTTCATTTTTTCGGAGCACTGTGCCAATTTTGAACCATACACCACTGTTCTAAATTCGCTACTTGCTTGTATGCTTCAACTTAAATTGAACCCTTTTTTTTGTTTTTAGTTGTGTAAATTTGTTGATTTCTACAATTTCAACCTTCCAGTCGCACTTTCCCTACCTCCTGGACCCGGATCAAGCTGGAAATATGAGTTGTACTTCTGATAATGAGATTTGTTTGAGATTGTCATGGTTGACTCATTATTGGTTTTGGTTTATCCTTGCTTTGTGAATTCTGTAGGCTTATGACTTGCACAAGACCAATTTTATGTACCGTTAATATTTGGCCTGTATGAGATATTCAAACTGTCACAAGTGGTGTCCTAATACTTTTGTCACCAGGTTTTTCTTCACTCTTGCACCAAAGAACAGTGTATGTTAATAAGAATCAACATTATTGCATCCTGCTGCTTTAATCTCGCAATAAACCAACAATATTTAGCTGAACTGAAACACTACGTTACTATAACATCACAGAAAAACTTGGAATAGTATGCCATAATGTTACAAATCCCCTAATCCGTGGGGCGAGGAAGAGAGAGGGTGGGTTGGGGGGAAGAAAAAGAAAAGAACTCAATAATGGCAGCATTTTGGACACTATTGAATTATCTCTCTGATCTGTGATCTTAACATGTCCTCTTCCACATAAATTTACAAGAATTAAGAAGGTTGACAAAATTTGAGCAGATACAGATCCTGCGTAACAATGTTATCTGCCGATCTCCTACCAGTGGTCAAAAGTGAATTATCACTTCAAACACAGGCAATACATAAATTCTTTCTATCCAATGCAACAAGCTCTGGTTTCAGATTTAATCAACAGTTCTTCAACCTACAAACCTGCAGCAAAAAAGAAATTATAATTCATACTGTACCAAAGAACGAAACTAATCATGCTCATTCGTCCCCTCCAGGGATTCCATGATGTGCCCACACTAGATAATAGAACAGAATTTCTCATTGCCCTTACATTTCTGTATTCTTTTCTTAGCACATGCTGCATGAGAGCATGTGGATGTAAGAAAGGGGGGGGGGGGGGGGGGGGGGGGGGGGGGGGGNGGGGGGGGGGGGGGGGGGGGGGGGGGGGGGGGGGGGGGGGGGGGGGGGGGGGGGGGGGGGGGGGGGGGAGAAGGGTGAAGGGCTCAAATAAAATTTGGTCATAAGAACAAACGTGCTTTTTTCTACATAAAGCTACATGCTATTGAACAAGGTGGATGGAAATTACTAAGCTGGTTGAGTGCTCAATATGAAGCCACAAATAGATATGATAGATCAGAGTTGGACACAAGCTACGCAAATTTGCATGACACTTAAATAGGAATTGTTAAGATGCTTATTCAACTTGACGTCTTAGCATTAGGGGTTCAATTTGCAAGTAGTGTATCACATGATATGTCAGGAAATCACCTATAAACTACCTACTCCCTCCTTTACCTTGGCAGCAGGAAAACTGGCTCAGGAATTCTATGGACAAGAATGATAATAACAAGTTAGGATGTACCCTACAGTCATAAATTGTCTCTACCAACATCTCTATGACCCAAAACAATGCCAAATTGCAATTGGTACATACCAGAATGTAAATAAAGTTTTAGAAGGCAACGATACCTTATAATTGACAGGAACTAGGATATGAAAGATTGGCAGTATTAAAGATGAAGATCTTCAATGTCGATCAGGGGTTCTTCATTCCCAGTGGACCTCTTGTCGGGCATGCTAATCACCAGCTGACCACATGCACCACTAATATCTTGGCCCATTTGCTTACGAATGGTTGTTCGGATGTTATAAGCACTTCTCAATATTTCCTGGAATCTGGTAACACTATGTTCGCTGCTGGTTCTGAAATCACTGAGTGTACCAATTGGATTAAATGGTATCAGGTTCACAACCTGCGACCAAAGTGCATATAATCAAATGTTGAGATAGCAAAATGTGGCCACTTAAAACCAACTACTGGCAAAGTAGTAAGATCTGCAAGTATGATGCCTAAAAATACCAATTTAGCACTACAACAATAAAAGATGACATGATCCATTGACAATTCATGACCATGCATTACAGAGACACCTAAGAATTAAAATTAGCTATTCAGAAATTTTCGGCAGAGATTTCACACACAAATTTTCAAGCATACAAAGTTTTTGCTGTGGAATTAATTTTGCAAATCTATAACATTTATTTGGTTACAGGTTTCAGATATACTTGATTTAAAATGGATAGAGGTTTCATTCTGCATTTCAGCATATACCTGTACAGAAGTTTTTGCCAGTTGTAACAGTCTTGTCGGGCTCCTCAGTCGAATCAGTTTATACAATCAAATCATTATTGTATATGTTGCAAGTACTATACGCAAATCATAGTTTTGTTAGCAATCTGTCTCTGACTATCAGAGGGCTGTTTTTAAGGTTGAGGGCTGCAAAAATTCAGATCTTCAATCCAACTAAGACTCTGAGGGTTCAGTAAAAATACTCTTGCACCCTATCCAGTTGGAATATTCATTTTCTGGTATAAGGGCTGACATGAAAATTACAGAAATTTAAGGCTCTTTAATTTCCAGTATGAGGGCTCACAAAAATAGAAAATAGTTTAGAAGCAACATCAACATATGGAGCTCACCACTTGAAATGTCTCCAGCAATTTTCCAAGCTGGTGGGCATGCTGTGCCTCATCATTCACCCCATCGAGCATTATGTACTCAATAAAGATTTTCTGCTGACTAAAAACTGAGCCAGATGAGAAATTCTTATAATCTGAAATGACTACAGAGAAGTAAGGATCCCCAGAGACATAATTGAAGAAGTATTCCAAAGAAACAGTGAACTAAAACAAATTCCTACCTGTTATTTTGATATTCTCGCAGCGTATTCATAAGTCTTTCCAAAGGAAAGGCCCGAGCTGCAGGCATTATCTGACAACGGATATCTTGAGCTGGTGCATGCAGCGATACTGCTAAATTTATATTTGGAATATCATTATGGATCCTGTTGATTGCATGAGTAATTCCCACCTACCAAAGATTAACGCAAATACAATATGCTTGTGTTCAACAGTAGCCATGTATGCCAGTCAAGAGCCGTATACTGCAGACTTAACATCCTTTATAAGTTAATGATAAACAGAGAAGAGTTTTGTAGCTCATACAGTTGAAACAGTAATTTTTTTAGGTGACAACCAAAATGGTGATGCTGTCATCACCCGGATAGCTTCTACCAAGGCAGCATAGTTATTCAATGGCTCCCCCATTCCCTGCACACAAAAAGAATGATCATCACATTTGTGCGTAATTAATACTCAATTGGGAGAATAGTAGTGAAATCTCCAAGCTTAAAATGTTGAAATCTAGAAAATGGATGACAATATCAGCATCCCAAGTGTAATGTGATAATACACGAATATAAACATCCATTCACAGAAGTTTGATGAAGCAGCGCAATAATGAAAGCCATAACAAAAGCAAAATTACTAAATTGGAAGGCAGTAGCCTTTTCTCATATTTCAAGTGCTTTTGCATGAATTTAAATTGTGTTAAAAACATAAAAAAAACAAATTGTAATGGACTAAAGAACGAAAAACCTAAGCAATGGAGTCCGAAGGGTCTGAAGGAGTGGTATCAAGCCTGCCCATAACTCACCCGATCGCTTTTGAGGGTGAACACCGTCTTTTTCTCCCCTAGATCAGCATCATACCACACATTATCAAATAAATCACCAGTTGTATACATTTCATCACCACTATCATAACCGGTGTGGCCACTAAACCATGTCAAACCATCATGATGATCACTGAGGCCACTGCCACCACCTGCAGATCTGCTAGCAATGCCACCACCACACTACCAACAATGCTTGGGCACCACCACCTCCATCACACCACCACAACTGTCATTGTGCCAGTACCACTAAAAGCACTCCTAGCATATCATCACTACACAATACCACCATAAATTTTTTATCCCTATAAATAATGGTTTCTCATACACTACAGCATAGGTCCATTGCCTAACTGGGAACAACACAATTGGCAAAAAACCATAACCTTTTCAACTAAGGGGAATGACATCCACTAACACGGTTCTCCATTCTCCATTTGCAACAAACACTCGCAAGGATCATGACTTTCTCTTCATTGCCATTACCTTTATCAGCATTGCCTTCATGCACTACCATCACCAAACTCCCTGCCTCTGCTGCCAACACCAAACCATCGTATCCATAGGAACCACAGCCTTCCATATTTATACTTTCTTCATTTTCCATTTTTCAAATATCTTGTTACCAAAACCAACTTCCACAACACGCTTTTAACTTTTTTCAAAATAAATAAATAAAGACCGACCCAAAGAAATAAATAAATGAAAAAAAATTCAGAAATTGAAATAGGTTGCTTCTCCTTTATTTGAGTAGCACGTTTCACATACTCACAAGACAATGCCAGAATCTTCTTCGGGGACTCGTAATCTCCCTTAGTTCCAAAAAAAAAAACAACAAAAACGAGCCGAAAGAATACAGTCTTGGAAGTAAATTTCTGATAAGCCTATTAGACATATTTACTTCTGAGTTTCTATTAAAGTTTCTTAAAACATCTTGTTTTTTCTTTCGCATTTTTCTTAGTGCTTTTTACCTTAAAAGAAGAGACCTAATATTTTTCAAGAACTTACAGCATCGAATTCAGAGTGCATCCCTCAGAATAGTAAAGATAAATGAGTAGATTGTGCATTCAACGATGGACAACCATTTTACAATCGATATAAGACAATTAGCAATATCCCATAGCAAAGTAATGCTGCGAAAAAAGAAAAGAAATTACCATGAAGACAACATTACGTATCTGCGATAAGCGGGAGGCATGCACCAGTTGTTCCACTATTTCTCCCGATGATAGATTATTTTTAAATCCCATGCTTCCAGTTGCACAGAATTTGCAACCCATTTTGCAACCAACCTTTAGTAAAAGCAGACGAAATTAAAAATAATGATTTATCAAACCAATTAATTGAATTTAAGACACCAAAAAGGAAACAGGAATGAACACCTGAGAGGAGATGCACAAGGTTGACCTCAGACCACCAGGCCGAGGCTTTCCATTATATTTTCCCAAACGCGAATCATACCTCATGATCACAGCCTCCACAAATGCTCCATTCTGAAAAATGATAGGAACTACCTGTGAGGCTAATTAACATCTTTGCAATAGACAAGCAAACTCTGTGCCCAGTCATAAGTACCTACAACTTAAAAAACATTCCTTTCATTTTGATTGGGTCTCTTACCCAACCCCACAACGATACAATTCGAAACCCTGCATCCCCACTTCAGTAACTTCAACTAGACCATTTCGCAAATGGACCAGTTAACTGTAATAATTTAAGTACGCAATAAATTGAACTCTACTTGACGTCATAATTCGACACATGATGGAGCTGAACTGGTGTAGGATATTCGTCTAACCTCCAAAAAAAGAAGAAGAAAGGAATACTCAAGTTTGCATTAAATAAGAAGACGTTGTTTACAAGAACATCTATCCATAAAAGGCCATAGCTCAAGGTGGTACCACAATTGATTGAAGCAGGGAAGCTTGGTCCAAACAGTCATATAAGAAGCATAAACCATTAAACCTAATAATAAATACAATGAAAAGAGTACCTGCAAAGAAGGAGGGAATACCTGCAACTTAATGAGAAGCTTAGTAGTGACCTCATCGCTCGATTCGATGACGGAGTGAAGAGTAGAAGTGGAGGGTTTGAACTTGGAGCGAAGAAGTGGGTAAGCTGCGGCTGGCAAAGAAGGAACTTCGTCCAATTCACAATTAGGGTTCTGAATCACATACCTATACATATATACACAACATACGATAAGATATACAGCACTCAACACACACACACACACACACACAAAGAGAGAGGGCTTAGGGGAGAGGGAGATACTTCCATATTAGATGGATGAAATTGGTGTTGATTCCGGCCTTCTCAAACTCGGTTCTAATGGCGGAAGAATCGAATACCGATCGAATCGCCATCACAACGACATTCAGTTTCAAATTAGGGTTTTCAGGAAAGCATAGCAGCCAATCCCCAAATCTATTCCCAACTCGTAACGGACCATTCCATTGTAGCTATGTGTGGATACACCGTTTTTATTTTTGTGTTTTTAAAAAACATTAAAAAAAAAAACAGATATAAATTTTATTTTTACTGTAATAAAAATTTAAAATATAAAATATATTTGATAATTATTTATATTAAAAAATTATAAAAATAAAAATAAAAAACATATTTGGTATTATAATATTTCTATAATTTATTGTAGTTGTTTTGATAAATTTTTTAATTCTAAATACGTTCTTCCTCAAAATATTGGGGAAGCACCATTCAACCATAGAAACGCACCATCCAATCATTGAAAATCCACCACCAACACCCTTGAAAATCCACTTAAACCTACCTCCAAACACCCCTAAAAACCCACCACAAAAAAAAAAAAAAAAATTAGATAAAGGCGAGAGAGAGAAAGAGGGGGGATGCCAAAAGCCCAACACCCCCGTTGCAAAACCCACCACCCAACCCCTAAAGTCTAAAAACTACTATAATACTACTCCTAATGCTGCCCATAATAAAAAAAAAAAAAAATTTTGCTATCAAATTTGCAGTTCTTTTAAGAGTTTAAAAACGTATCTCCTTATTTCTTTATTGCTCATTTTATAGTCATCTTCTTCAACGGTTATACTCTATCAATGGTTACCCAATAGTAACTCTTAATATGAAACCTTCCTTTGTTTAAATATGGTTATAACTGACTATCTTCCTGCCTTACTTGATTATTTATATTTTTTTCATCTAAATTCAGAAAACCCTTGATTGTTAAGATTTGAGAAAACAAAATTCAATTCAATCTTCTCAAATAATATTGATGATTAATGATCTAAGTATTAATGAGTGGTGTTTTTAAACCTACTATTGAGTTTAAGTAAGATTTAAATTCTCTCTATCACATTTTCATTGAATTTTACTCAATTATAAATCATTTATAGTGCATGAGCAAGATCCATTTATAAACAGTGATTACCCATCATGTATGAGTTTGTTCCCCTCATATTAATAGTAGGTGATTAAAAATTGAGTAAAACTACGGTAAAATAAAATGGAGAAGATCTCAATCCGTTTAAATAGATAAGAGAATGTGAGGGAGATGAAGAGATTTCAGAAAAAAAAATTGAGTACCCCTTCATTTGACATGAATTTGAATAAAAGACCAGAGTTGGAAGGTTTTACCCGAATTTAAGTGTAAATCAACTTTGAGCAAGGGCCGGAATGCCCTAATACAACTCTTTATTTTTTGATAGTACCACACTAGAATTTGATTGTCAATGAGAATAATAAAGTAAAATCATGTTCCCAATTTTAAAATATCTCTAAAATATTAATTGTCTCAATTTAGTTCATAAACTTTTAAAATTGTGTCAAATCAGTCCTTTTGGTATAATTTTTTTGTTGTTAATAATCAGGAGTGTTCGGACCAGTTTACTCTTATATCAATTAATCTTCTCTCCGATTCAATCAAAATCAAACCATCTATGCCGAGACTAAATAATTCATAAAGAGTAATCTCTCATAGTTTGATTCTAAGCAATAGACAAGATTTAAATTTAAGACATTTGAGTTCCTTTTGTTACATCAATTATCAAAACAAATTGTTTTTCTTTGCACGCGAATCTTGCACTACTATTGAGCAGTGGCAGATTTAGTATGGGGCAACTGCCCCCTCTAAAAATTCAAAAAAAAATTGGATTTAGGTGTAATTAAAAAAATTTCAAATTTTTTTTAAACTTGCCCCCACAAATTTTTTTAAACTTGCCCCCACTGAAATTTTTTTAAAGTATAACGTATATTAATATAATTTTAAATCCTCAAAAGCTATAGCTCCTTTTCACGCCTGCTTTTTTTTTTTTTTGTTTCGTAAGCCTTTGTCTTCTTCGTCCAGATTTCTAGTACAGTTCAGCCGGCAATCCCTCTTCTTTCTTTTATTTAGTTTTTTTGTTAGTTCCTTTGATATATTTATCAACAAATCACCCTATTGAATTCAATTATTGTGTAAATCAAATTTGAAAAAACTCTAGAAGATAATATTGAAGCTAAGGAGAGATAATTCATTAACCAAATTTTTTGATAGTAGTATTAGCATTAATCTAAAATCCAATTTTTTAAATTAGAAAATTAGTTTAACTCTTGTAGAATTGATGGTTGTTTGGTATATTATTTATGGACTTATGTGGATTTTTTTTGGTTCGTCTTTGATCACCACTCAACTATTTGGATTTTTGTTAAAACTCATGTTCAGATTGGCTATTTGAGATTTTTGGTTAGTGTTATTTTTCTTCCCTATGATTAAATTGTTTTAATTGACTTCTTGAAATTTTAGTTTGAATTTATAGATTATATTTTGATTATACGTAGTCCATTATCTTATTTGTAACAAACTTAATGACGAACTTTTAAACTTGAATCTAATTAGATAAATTTATTTTTCAATCAGTTATGAATAAGTTGTCTCCGCTGAGGCAAAATCCTAACTCCGCCCCTGCTATCAAGGGCAATAGAAGAATAATATAAATTTTCAACAACTTAATATTCTGTCATTTGGCTAAACAATACGTTACACACACGACTCTTCAAGATCAGCATCAATTTTTTTAATAGTATTAAGCAATTTTGGTATCCAGTAAAAGGATGGCTACAACAAGTTGATGAGTTCCAGCATACACAAGAAGTCAAATACTTTCTCGAATAGATTACCACCAACTTGCACGAGTCAAGAAAAGAAAAATATTATTTCGACTTATCTTATTAATCTTGGCTATTATAATCATTAAATTAATAATAGGTCTCAATTAAAAGTAGGGTCCATTATAAATTAAACAATAAAAAATAATTAAATTAACAAATATGATTAAAAAATTAAATCAAAACAATATTACTCGTCAGTCGTCATAGCACAAATTGGGTCAATCCCATCTGGATACCACTCCCTCAAATCATATCCGGTATTCCTCCACTGATGGATCATTTTTCTCGGTTTCACACTCTTCTTCTTCTGCCTCGTCTTGATCATCCCAATCATACAAGGAGGCTTTTGAAAAGTCTATAAACCTCACCAAAATGCCACGAAATTACACTACTTACACGCCAAGCTCTTTCATACCCTTTTTTCCGGCCGATCCCCGTCTATGACAAAATCCATGTTGTGTATAAGTAGATTTAGTGAATTCGTCTCATCTTTAATCAGGTGTTTGTTGATTTATTTATTTGATGGGTCAAATGAATTCATCTGTTAATGTTTACGATTCATACTCATTAAGGTTAAACTCAAATCCATGTCAGATAAGCTGACTTTGTCTAGAATGATCAAAAGGTCTGGGTGTGAGAGAATAGTCATCAACATTGATATTCACATATCTAGAGAAAAGGAGCAGACAATACAAACAAATTTGAAATTCAGGTACAAACAATAAATAATATCAACATATTACTGAAACATTTGTTGCAAATCGTTCACATTTTCTTACTTTTGTATGACCAAAATTACATAAATAAAACAATGACACAATGAAACAATTCTAGAAGTAGTTTTTAAATTTCATAGTTTCGAGGATTATGGGATTCCTGAAACTCATGCTGACAGAATTCTCGTGCTCCTAACTTCATTTTATCGTCGACGATTCAAGTTGGTTCCCTTTGACACTTGGTAATTAGCATTGGAACCAATCTGCTTAAAGCCATTTGGATTTCCAGGAGAGAGCACAGAACCTCTGCTGAAGCTTTTTGAGTTTGACAAATATTCCACGCCTGAATTTTGCTGCAATACATCAAAGGTTGGTGGCTGAAACTCCGACCGGGTTCGACGGTGAGACGAGCCTTCCACTGAGTCTCCTCCAACTAGCAAGTGGTAGCTACGGGTCGAGGTTTCGGAAAACGATCGGTAACGGTTATGAGGTCTCGGTTTCTTGAGGGCTTGGAAGAGAAATGGGATTAAGCCTTCCATGGTTGCTTCTTCTTCCTCTTTCTTCTTTGTGGTTTTCTTTTGATCTTTGCTAGTATTTGTGTTTGTAAGGTATGTGACCCAAAGTCACACCTGTGCATTTATACTAGCAATAATGGTGATTGAGATAGAGAGATGAACAACATGGTCAATGACATTTATATCCTTTAAAGAGGAAAAAGGCAAACTAAACACTAGGCTTAATAATCTGTTAGGTCCTTCCTAGACTATATCAACTCGATTACCTTTGAAAATATAGTAAGGTCAATATGTTTCCTCTAACTAACTTGAAAGTGATTCGAAGTTATGCAATGACCGAATCGAAAAGGAGATTAGTCGAGGTGTGCGTAAATTATTACAGACACCTTTAACCATTGAATAAAAAAAAATGGTACAAAGCCCAAATTTTGGACACAATAAATTCCGAACATCTTATGTTAAATTCTTAGTATGCCTATCACCTTTGGATCCAGATCTTATCCTTGAATTTTGCTTAATTTTTTTTAATGATAAATCACTCTTCTTATATTCATAAGGATCCATCTGTATATAATGAATCTCAGTTAAATTCTTTTAATTAGTCTTTTGAATATTCATATCATAGTAGGTTAATTGTGGTAAAAGTGGATACTTTGGTTGATAAATACAATATTGCGAAGAGTAATGCTAGATAAACTTAAAAAGTAGACTTGATAATCTCAATCATTTATATTTACTAGACCCAAAAATTAAAGGATCGGTGAACAGAACATAGCGGAATGGAATGAATTCTGGTAGAAGAATTTTATAACTAATGCCTATAAATATGTTATAATCCTTGAGAGTTTGATGCATAGTAAAAAAGAAAATATACATTTTTGTCAATTGTAATTGAAAGAGGTCTGTTTATGTAAATTTGAATGATGGCCATGGAACACAAAAGTCAGCAAATTTGACTTTGTCCAATGGAGTTATTAGACATTTATGAAATGTCGTGCGTGAATCTATTGAGTATGTCGTTATTGACTGCTTTTATCACCAAATCAAACCTTAAACTGGGCGGCTTTACGCGTAGAGTCCTTCTCTCATAATAGAGTAAGTACGAGATATACACATAAAACCAGGGGTAGGATTTTACCTAAAATTTGTGAGTAAGACACGATTTGTAAAATTGACACGAAATTTGTAGGTTTAGTTTTAGTTCGATAGAGTTGTGAGAAATAAAAAAGGATCGATACATAATTGATTAAACACGAAATGAATATAGCAATGTAATTAGCTTGGATGAGTTTCAAAATTCTATCCGTTATGCCATTGACCATTTTTTAATAAATTAACTTCTTATTAATAAGGTAACTTTAAAATTTATCAACTGTCCTAAGTTTCTATCCAATCATCTCTCCATTTCCGCTCGCTCTCTCACACACACATACTCTCTCTCATTTAAATTTGTATTTATTACATATTGCGAGCAATATTATTGTAACTTAATTTGTTGACCAAATTTATTATAATCATTTTTTTTAGAGATGTGCTACAATGGAAAATTTGTTATAATCATTAGATTGACCGTGTGCTCCATTAAACTATGAAATTTGATGTTAATCGAGCGATTATAATAAAATCACACTAATAAGTCAGTAAATTAAGTTAAATTTTTAAATCTTAATAACATTTAGTCACATTCTATAGAGCAATCAATTTAGGAGAGATAGTGGTTATAAAACTTTCTCTCATTAAGTACTAAAAAATTAATTTATTTTATTCTTCTTAATTTAACACTAGTAGATAACTTTCCAAAAGCACTAGAGTTGGGGGGACAACGAGGGGGTGGTAACATTATAATGAGACGCACGGGACGCCCCTTGTTTTACTAAAACAAATGAAATTAACCTTAATAGCACTATAAATAAAACTATAATAGAAAGTGTGAGATTAGCTAAAAAAAAAAAATTTGGGTCAAAGATTAGCATTGAAGCTTCGTAATTTTAATCACGTGAAGATTTGTCCATGGAGTCGTCACTTATCTAGAGTTTGAATGACATGTAGATAGCAATCACGGGCTAAACATTACAGTTGGATCTCACCAACTTAGCACACTTTTAGATTCAAGTGCTCAAGCCCTCCTCCTCCTTTGAATTGACGACTTATTAGAGTTGTGTTAGTTTTCTCCTATTTAGTCTCTAATAAATGAATCTTAAGATACTATGGAAACAAGTGAACCTTTCACCTAACCCTACTACATAGGTCCAATTGTTTTGGTTGGGGTTGTTGGGAGAGGAGGGAATTTAAAAGGAGAAAAATAATTAAAACAAGGGGCTAAATAGAATAATCAAACGGAGACACGTGTTTGGATAATTAAAAATTTTGTTAGTTGTCTAAAATATTTCCATTTATTAATTAAGTGAGAGGCATATGTTCCCTTTCCACTTATTTTTTTTTTAAAAAAAATTGGATAAAAAATTATGTGTTATTTAAATTAAAAAGTTGGAGAGTATCAATTGAAAATTTATTTTAAAGGCTAATTAAATGAAACTAACAATATAAGGGATATTTTAAAGGCTTTTAGGTTCCTTTTATCTCCCTACAAGCTAAATCATCCATAGGAGAAAGTATTGAATATAATGGTGTCAACACTTTATCCCTGGCATGTGGTGTCACTGTCGATATGGCCGAGTCAATGTAAATGGAGGCTCTAAGCTAACGCTTTAAATGAGGGTTTTTTTTAGAATTTATTACAAATATAAGTTGTATGATTAACATTTTACTTAAAAAGTATTTTTCTCTCCTTTTGTAATGCAAATTTAGGTAGTGTTTGGTAATCGGTGGTTTTTGTTTTGTTTTTTTTTCATTTTATGGTAAAAAAAAATATGTTTGGTGAATGTTTTTATTTTTTTTTAATTGCTATGCTTTAAAAACACAGCTAAAATATGAAAAGATTCAAAAGAAAGGTTTTGAAAGTATCAAAAAAAAAAACGCGTGATTGATAAAGGAATTTAATGAGGTCTTGGCTTCGATCCTCCTTACCAACAAAATATGAATTTTTTTGCTTTGAGTATAAAAGTCCATCTTTCTCTCTGTCTCTCTCGATGCCAAAGACTGAAGACGAAACGAAGTCATCCCCATCGACATCGCCCCTCTCAGTTCTCTCTGTCTCTCGATGACAAAGACGAAGCCATTGCCATCCCTCCTCTCAGTCATCTCTCTCTCTATCTCTTGCGCTGTCAAAGACAAAGATGAAGACGAAGCAAAAAAGGGGGGAAAAGATGCTTACACATGAAGATCATGACGAAGCAGAAAATGGGGGAAAACATGTCATCGCCCCTCTCAATTGTCTTCTCGAGCCTTAAATCTATGTATATTGTCTGTATATATAGGTGGGTGGTGGATTTTGGGGTTTGGGGTGGTAGATTTTGGGGGTGGATTTTCAGGAGTGGGGTTGGGTTATGGTTTTTGGTGGTGGTTTTGGATGGTTAGTGGGGTTGGGTGGTGGGTTTTGAGTGATAAATTTTTGATATAATACTAAACAAATTTTTTATTTTTGTTTTCACAATTTTTTAAATATATATGACTATCAAACATGTTTTATATTTTTAATTTTTATCCAAAAAAAAACATAAAAACGAAAATGTTATCAAACGCACTTTTAGTAATTAAGTTTTTACATTCAAATTTCGCTAATATATCATTTTTAATGGATAATAAGACTAATTCATTCAATTTTAATAATAACTCATCTACTTCTCGCTTCCTTTTTTAACATTTTTCACATCCAAAATCATATCTTCAAGTTGACATACTCAAACTTTAATAATCCTTGCAAAGGTAACAACTAATAACAATGGAACAAAGTTAACAANTCAAATTTCGCTAATATATCATTTTTAATGGATAATAAGACTAATTCATTCAATTTTAATAATAACTCATCTACTTCTCGCTTCCTTTTTTAACATTTTTCACATCCAAAATCATATCTTCAAGTTGACATACTCAAACCTTAATAATCCTTGCAAAGGTAACAACTAATAACAATGGAACAAAGTTAACAATCTTCTTTACTTCCTAATACAAAATCAATAGTACAATAGCACCCGATAAATAGGAAATTGTACACAATTCTTTGTTTGTCTCTCAAATCATCCAGTAATTCCAATTTTCACAATAGATNCAAAAACGAGCCGAAAGAATACAGTCTTGGAAGTAAATTTCTGATAAGCCTATTAGACATATTTACTTCTGAGTTTCTATTAAAGTTTCTTAAAACATCTTGTTTTTTCTTTCGCTANCAAAAACGAGCCGAAAGAATACAGTCTTGGAAGTAAATTTCTGATAAGCCTATTAGATATATTTACTTCTGAGTTTCTATTAAAGTTTCTTAAAACATCTTGTTTTTTCTTTCGCTATTTTTCTTAGTGCTTTTTACCTTAAAAGAAGAGACCTAATATTTTTCAAGAACTTACAGCATCGAATTCAGAGTGCATCCCTCAGAATAGTAAAGATAAATGAGTAGATTGTGCATTCAACGATGGACAACCATTTTACAATCGATATAAGACAATTAGCAATATCCCATAGCAAAGTAATGCTGCGAAAAAAGAAAAGAAATTACCATGAAGACAACATTACGTATCTGCGATAAGCGGGAGGCATGCACCAGTTGTTCCACTATTTCTCCCGATGATAGATTATTTTTAAATCCCATGCTTCCAGTTGCACAGAATTTGCAACCCATTTTGCAACCAACCTTTAGTAAAAGCAGACGAAATTAAAAATAATGATTTATCAAACCAATTAATTGAATTTAAGACACCAAAAAGGAAACAGGAATGAACACCTGAGAGGAGATGCACAAGGTTGACCTCAGACCACCAGGCCGAGGCTTTCCATTATATTTTCCCAAACGCGAATCATACCTCATGATCACAGCCTCCACAAATGCTCCATTCTGAAAAATGATAGGAACTACCTGTGAGGCTAATTAACATCTTTGCAATAGACAAGCAAACTCTGTGCCCAGTCATAAGTACCTACAACTTAAAAAACATTCCTTTCATTTTGATTGGGTCTCTTACCCAACCCCACAACGATACAATTCGAAACCCTGCATCCCCACTTCAGTAACTTCAACTAGACCATTTCGCAAATGGACCAGTTAACTGTAATAATTTAAGTACGCAATAAATTGAACTCTACTTGACGTCATAATTCGACACATGATGGAGCTGAACTGGTGTAGGATATTCGTCTAACCTCCAAAAAAAGAAGAAGAAAGGAATACTCAAGTTTGCATTAAATAAGAAGACGTTGTTTACAAGAACATCTATCCATAAAAGGCCATAGCTCAAGGTGGTACCACAATTGATTGAAGCAGGGAAGCTTGGTCCAAACAGTCATATAAGAAGCATAAACCATTAAACCTAATAATAAATACAATGAAAAGAGTACCTGCAAAGAAGGAGGGAATACCTGCAACTTAATGAGAAGCTTAGTAGTGACCTCATCGCTCGATTCGATGACGGAGTGAAGAGTAGAAGTGGAGGGTTTGAACTTGGAGCGAAGAAGTGGGTAAGCTGCGGCTGGCAAAGAAGGAACTTCGTCCAATTCACAATTAGGGTTCTGAATCACATACCTATACATATATACACAACATACGATAAGATATACAGCACTCAACACACACACACACACACACACACACACAAAGAGAGAGGGCTTAGGGGAGAGGGAGATACTTCCATATTAGATGGATGAAATTGGTGTTGATTCCGGCCTTCTCAAACTCGGTTCTAATGGCGGAAGAATCGAATACCGATCGAATCGCCATCACAACGACATTCAGTTTCAAATTAGGGTTTTCAGGAAAGCATAGCAGCCAATCCCCAAATCTATTCCCAACTCGTAACGGACCATTCCATTGTAGCTATGTGTGGATACACCGTTTTTATTTTTGTGTTTTTAAAAAACATTAAAAAAAAAAACAGATATAAATTTTATTTTTACTGTAATAAAAATTTAAAATATAAAATATATTTGATAATTATTTATATTAAAAAATTATAAAAATAAAAATAAAAAACATATTTGGTATTATAATATTTCTATAATTTATTGTAGTTGTTTTGATAAATTTTTTAATTCTAAATACGTTCTTCCTCAAAATATTGGGGAAGCACCATTCAACCATAGAAACGCACCATCCAATCATTGAAAATCCACCACCAACACCCTTGAAAATCCACTTAAACCTACCTCCAAACACCCCTAAAAACCCACCACAAAAAAAAAAAAAAAAATTAGATAAAGGCGAGAGAGAGAAAGAGGGGGGATGCCAAAAGCCCAACACCCCCGTTGCAAAACCCACCACCCAACCCCTAAAGTCTAAAAACTACTATAATACTACTCCTAATGCTGCCCATAATAAAAAAAAAAAAAAATTTTGCTATCAAATTTGCAGTTCTTTTAAGAGTTTAAAAACGTATCTCCTTATTTCTTTATTGCTCATTTTATAGTCATCTTCTTCAACGGTTATACTCTATCAATGGTTACCCAATAGTAACTCTTAATATGAAACCTTCCTTTGTTTAAATATGGTTATAACTGACTATCTTCCTGCCTTACTTGATTATTTATATTTTTTTCATCTAAATTCAGAAAACCCTTGATTGTTAAGATTTGAGAAAACAAAATTCAATTCAATCTTCTCAAATAATATTGATGATTAATGATCTAAGTATTAATGAGTGGTGTTTTTAAACCTACTATTGAGTTTAAGTAAGATTTAAATTCTCTCTATCACATTTTCATTGAATTTTACTCAATTATAAATCATTTATAGTGCATGAGCAAGATCCATTTATAAACAGTGATTACCCATCATGTATGAGTTTGTTCCCCTCATATTAATAGTAGGTGATTAAAAATTGAGTAAAACTACGGTAAAATAAAATGGAGAAGATCTCAATCCGTTTAAATAGATAAGAGAATGTGAGGGAGATGAAGAGATTTCAGAAAAAAAAATTGAGTACCCCTTCATTTGACATGAATTTGAATAAAAGACCAGAGTTGGAAGGTTTTACCCGAATTTAAGTGTAAATCAACTTTGAGCAAGGGCCGGAATGCCCTAATACAACTCTTTATTTTTTGATAGTACCACACTAGAATTTGATTGTCAATGAGAATAATAAAGTAAAATCATGTTCCCAATTTTAAAATATCTCTAAAATATTAATTGTCTCAATTTAGTTCATAAACTTTTAAAATTGTGTCAAATCAGTCCTTTTGGTATAATTTTTTTGTTGTTAATAATCAGGAGTGTTCGGACCAGTTTACTCTTATATCAATTAATCTTCTCTCCGATTCAATCAAAATCAAACCATCTATGCCGAGACTAAATAATTCATAAAGAGTAATCTCTCATAGTTTGATTCTAAGCAATAGACAAGATTTAAATTTAAGACATTTGAGTTCCTTTTGTTACATCAATTATCAAAACAAATTGTTTTTCTTTGCACGCGAATCTTGCACTACTATTGAGCAGTGGCAGATTTAGTATGGGGCAACTGCCCCCTCTAAAAATTCAAAAAAAAATTGGATTTAGGTGTAATTAAAAAAATTTCAAATTTTTTTTAAACTTGCCCCCACAAATTTTTTTAAACTTGCCCCCACTGAAATTTTTTTAAAGTATAACGTATATTAATATAATTTTAAATCCTCAAAAGCTATAGCTCCTTTTCACGCCTGCTTTTTTTTTTTTTTGTTTCGTAAGCCTTTGTCTTCTTCGTCCAGATTTCTAGTACAGTTCAGCCGGCAATCCCTCTTCTTTCTTTTATTTAGTTTTTTTGTTAGTTCCTTTGATGTATTTATCAACAAATCACCCTATTGAATTCAATTATTGTGTAAATCAAATTTGAAAAAACTCTAGAAGATAATGTTGAAGCTAAGGAGAGATAATTCATTAACCAAATTTTTTGATAGTAGTATTAGCATTAATCTAAAATTCAATTTTTTATATTAGAAAATTAGTTTAACTCTTGTAGAATTGATGGTTGTTTGGTATATTATTTATGGACTTATGTGAATTTTTTTTGGTTCGTCTTTGATCACCACTCAACTATTTTGGATTTTTGTTAAAACCCATGTTCAGATTGGCTATTTGAGATTTTTGGTTAGTGTTATTTTTCTTCCCTATGATTAAATTGTTTTAATTGACTTCTTGAAATTTTAGTTTGAATTTATAGATTATATTTTGATTATACGTAGTCCATTATCTTATTTGTAACAAACTTAATGACGAACTTTTAAACTTGAATCTAATTAGATAAATTTATTTTTCAATCAGTTATGAATAAGTTGTCCCCGCTGAGGCAAAATCCTAACTCCGCCCATGCTATCAAGGGCAATAGAAGAATAATATAAATTTTCAACAACCTAATATTCTGTCATTTGGCTAAACAATACGTTACACACACGACTCTTCAAGATCAGCATCAATTTTTTTAATAGTATTAAGCAATTTTGGTATCCAGTAAAAGGATGGCTACAACAAGTTGATGAGTTCCAGCATACACAAGAAGTCAAATACTTTCTCGAATAGATTACCACCAACTTGCACGAGTCAAGAAAAGAAAAATATTATTTCGACTTATCTTATTAATCTTGGCTATTATAATCATTAAATTAATAATAGGTCTCAATTAAAAGTAGGGTCCATTATAAATTAAACAATAAAAAATAATTAAATTAACAAATATGATTAAAAAATTAAATCAAAACAATATTACTCGTCAGTCGTCATAGCACAAATTGGTTCAATCCCATCTGGATACCACTCCCTCAAATCATATCCGGTATTCCTCCACTGATGGATCATTTTTCTCGGTTTCACACGCTTCTTCTTCTTCCTCGTCTTGATCATCCCAATCATACAAGGAGGCTTTTGAAAAGTCTATAAACCTCACCAAAATGCCACGAAATTACACTACTTACACGCCAAGCTCTTTCATACCCTTTTTTCCGGCCGATCCCCGTCTATGACAAAATCCATGTTGTGTATAAGTAGATTTAGTGAATTCGTCTCATCTTTAATCAGGTGTTTGTTGATTTATTTATTTGATGGGTCAAATGAATTCATCTGTTAATGTTTACGATTCATACTCATTAAGGTTAAACTCAAATCCATGTCAGATAAGCTGACTTTGTCTAGAATGATCAAAAGGTCTGGGTGTGAGAGAATAGTCATCAACATTGATATTCACATATCTAGAGAAAAGGAGCAGACAATACAAACAAATTTGAAATTCAGGTACAAACAATAAATAATATCAACATATTACTGAAACATTTGTTGCAAATCGTTCACATTTTCTTACTTTTGTATGACCAAAATTACATAAATAAAACAATGACACAATGAAACAATTCTAGAAGTAGTTTTTAAATTTCATAGTTTCGAGGATTATGGGATTCCTGAAACTCATGCTGACAGAATTCTCGTGCTCCTAACTTCATTTTATCGTCGACGATTCAAGTTGGTTCCCTTTGACACTTGGTAATTAGCATTGGAACCAATCTGCTTAAAGCCATTTGGATTTCCAGGAGAGAGCACAGAACCTCTGCTGAAGCTTTTTGAGTTTGACAAATATTCCACGCCTGAATTTTGCTGCAATACATCAAAGGTTGGTGGCTGAAACTCCGACCGGGTTCGACGGTGAGACGAGCCTTCCACTGAGTCTCCTCCAACTAGCAAGTGGTAGCTACGGGTCGAGGTTTCGGAAAACGATCGGTAACGGTTATGAGGTCTCGGTTTCTTGAGGGCTTGGAAGAGAAATGGGATTAAGCCTTCCATGGTTGCTTCTTCTTCCTCTTTCTTCTTTGTGGTTTTCTTTTGATCTTTGCTAGTATTTGTGTTTGTAAGGTATGTGACCCAAAGTCACACCTGTGCATTTATACTAGCAATAATGGTGATTGAGATAGAGAGATGAACAACATGGTCAATGACATTTATATCCTTTAAAGAGGAAAAAGGCAAACTAAACACTAGGCTTAATAATCTGTTAGGTCCTTCCTAGACTATATCAACTCGATTACCTTTGAAAATATAGTAAGGTCAATATGTTTCCTCTAACTAACTTGAAAGTGATTCGAAGTTATGCAATGACCGAATCGAAAAGGAGATTAGTCGAGGTGTGCGTAAATTATTACAGACACCTTTAACCATTGAATAAAAAAAAATGGTACAAAGCCCAAATTTTGGACACAATAAATTCCGAACATCTTATGTTAAATTCTTAGTATGCCTATCACCTTTGGATCCAGATCTTATCCTTGAATTTTGCTTAATTTTTTTTAATGATAAATCACTCTTCTTATATTCATAAGGATCCATCTGTATATAATGAATCTCAGTTAAATTCTTTTAATTAGTCTTTTGAATATTCATATCATAGTAGGTTAATTGTGGTAAAAGTGGATACTTTGGTTAATAAATACAATATTGCGAAGAGTAATGCTAGATAAACTTAAAAAGTAGACTTGATAATCTCAATCATTTATATTTACTAGACCCAAAAATTAAAGGATCGGTGAACAGAACATAGCGGAATGGAATGAATTCTGGTAGAAGAATTTTATAACTAATGCCTATAAATATGTTATAATCCTTGAGAGTTTGATGCATAGTAAAAAAGAAAATATACATTTTTGTCAATTGTAATTGAAAGAGGTCTGTTTATGTAAATTTGAATGATGGCCATGGAACACAAAAGTCAGCAAATTTGACTTTGTCCAATGGAGTTATTAGACATTTATGAAATGTCGTGCGTGAATCTATTGAGTATGTCGTTATTGACTGCTTTTATCACCAAATCAAACCTTAAACTGGGCGGCTTTACGCGTAGAGTCCTTCTCTCATAATAGAGTAAGTACGAGATATACACATAAAACCAGGGGTAGGATTTTACCTAAAATTTGTGAGTAAGACACGATTTGTAAAATTGACACGAAATTTGTAGGTTTAGTTTTAGTTCGATAGAGTTGTGAGAAATAAAAAAGGATCGATACATAATTGATTAAACACGAAATGAATATAGCAATGTAATTAGCTTGGATGAGTTTCAAAATTCTATCCGTTATGCCATTGACCATTTTTTAATAAATTAACTTCTTATTAATAAGGTAACTTTAAAATTTATCAACTGTCCTAAGTTTCTATCCAATCATCTCTCCATTTCCGCTCGCTCTCTCACACACACATACTCTCTCTCATTTAAATTTGTATTTATTACATATTGCGAGCAATATTATTGTAACTTAATTTGTTGACCAAATTTATTATAATCATTTTTTTTAGAGATGTGCTACAATGGAAAATTTGTTATAATCATTAGATTGACCGTGTGCTCCATTAAACTATGAAATTTGATGTTAATCGAGCAATTATAATAAAATCACACTAATAAGTCAGTAAATTAAGTTAAATTTTTAAATCTTAATAACATTTAGTCACATTCTATAGAACAATCAATTTAGGAAAGATAGTGGTTATAAAACTTTCTCTCATTAAGTACTAAAAAATTAATTTATTTTATTCTTCTTAATTTAACACTAGTAGATAACTTTCCAAAAGCACTAGAGTTGGGGGGACAACGAGGGGGTGGTAACATTATAATGAGACGCACGGGACGCCCCTTGTTTTACTAAAACAAATGAAATTAACCTTAATAGCACTATAAATAAAACTATAATAGAAAGTGTGAGATTAGCTAAAAAAAAAAAATTTGGGTCAAAGATTAGCATTGAAGCTTCGTAATTTTAATCACGTGAAGATTTGTCCATGGAGTCGTCACTTATCTAGAGTTTGAATGACATGTAGATAGCAATCACGGGCTAAACATTACAGTTGGATCTCACCAACTTAGCACACTTTTAGATTCAAGTGCTCAAGCCCTCCTCCTCCTTTGAATTGACGACTTATTAGAGTTGTGTTAGTTTTCTCCTATTTAGTCTCTAATAAATGAATCTTAAGATACTATGGAAACAAGTGAACCTTTCACCTAACCCTACTACATAGGTCCAATTGTTTTGGTTGGGGTTGTTGGGAGAGGAGGGAATTTAAAAGGAGAAAAATAATTAAAACAAGGGGCTAAATAGAATAATCAAACGGAGACACGTGTTTGGATAATTAAAAATTTTGTTAGTTGTCTAAAATATTTCCATTTATTAATTAAGTGAGAGGCATATGTTCCCTTTCCACTTATTTTTTTTTTAAAAAAAATTGGATAAAAAATTATGTGTTATTTAAATTAAAAAGTTGGAGAGTATCAATTGAAAATTTATTTTAAAGGCTAATTAAATGAAACTAACAATATAAGGGATATTTTAAAGGCTTTTAGGTTCCTTTTATCTCCCTACAAGCTAAATCATCCATAGGAGAAAGTATTGAATATAATGGTGTCAACACTTTATCCCTGGCATGTGGTGTCACTGTCGATATGGCCGAGTCAATGTAAATGGAGGCTCTAAGCTAACGCTTTAAATGAGGGTTTTTTTTAGAATTTATTACAAATATAAGTTGTATGATTAACATTTTACTTAAAAAGTATTTTTCTCTCCTTTTGTAATGCAAATTTAGGTAGTGTTTGGTAATCGGTGGTTTTTGTTTTGTTTTTTTTTCATTTTATGGTAAAAAAAAATATGTTTGGTGAATGTTTTTATTTTTTTTTAATTGCTATGCTTTAAAAACACAGCTAAAATATGAAAAGATTCAAAAGAAAGGTTTTGAAAGTATCAAAAAAAAAAACGCGTGATTGATAAAGGAATTTAATGAGGTCTTGGCTTCGATCCTCCTTACCAACAAAATATGAATTTTTTTGCTTTGAGTATAAAAGTCCATCTTTCTCTCTGTCTCTCTCGATGCCAAAGACTGAAGACGAAACGAAGTCATCCCCATCGACATCGCCCCTCTCAGTTCTCTCTGTCTCTCGATGACAAAGACGAAGCCATTGCCATCCCTCCTCTCAGTCATCTCTCTCTCTATCTCTTGCGCTGTCAAAGACAAAGATGAAGACGAAGCAAAAAAGGGGGGAAAAGATGCTTACACATGAAGATCATGACGAAGCAGAAAATGGGGGAAAACATGTCATCGCCCCTCTCAATTGTCTTCTCGAGCCTTAAATCTATGTATATTGTCTGTATATATAGGTGGGTGGTGGATTTTGGGGTTTGGGGTGGTAGATTTTGGGGGTGGATTTTCAGGAGTGGGGTTGGGTTATGGTTTTTGGTGGTGGTTTTGGATGGTTAGTGGGGTTGGGTGGTGGGTTTTGAGTGATAAATTTTTGATATAATACTAAACAAATTTTTTATTTTTGTTTTCACAATTTTTTAAATATATATGACTATCAAACATGTTTTATATTTTTAATTTTTATCCAAAAAAAAACATAAAAACGAAAATGTTATCAAACACACTTTTAGTAATTAAGTTTTTACATTCAAATTTCGCTAATATATCATTTTTAATGGATAATAAGACTAATTCATTCAATTTTAATAATAACTCATCTACTTCTCGCTTCCTTTTTTAACATTTTTCACATCCAAAATCATATCTTCAAGTTGACATACTCAAACCTTAATAATCCTTGCAAAGGTAACAACTAATAACAATGGAACAAAGTTAACAATCTTCTTTACTTCCTAATACAAAATCAATAGTACAATAGCACCCGATAAATAGGAAATTGTACACAATTCTTTGTTTGTCTCTCAAATCATCCAGTAATTCCAATTTTCACAATAGATAATAAACTTATTAAAAATTAATTAAATTAAAATTAATAAAACTGTCAAAAAGATACAATACCTTTTTGATCCAACGGAAAATGGATGATTAGGGAGCAAACCTATGTATGTAACACAATGATCCGTAGTTTTAGTTGTGTCATATGTGCATACCTTTTTTTTTTTTGTTTGTGTGCAGTAGGAACTGTGCGCAGTTTGGGACGGATTATATTTTTTCTATTTGTGTACTATGTAAAGTAAGAGTAAATATTGGATGTAACGATATAATCGTTAAATATTAAATAAATAAGTGTACAAGTGACCCTGTTTTTTTTACACAATGGTTTTTATCTAACATAGATGAGTGATTATTTGAATGAATAAAATTCATTTTTCCTATTTAGTGAGTTAACATTGGACGATTATACCACGCGATAATACTAACGTGATAAAATCGTTATACCCAATATCTACTTGTAAAGTAGATGAGAGAGAGAAAGAGAGAGGTAAACTTGTTCATTTTTGAGATTGTGACCGTTGAAAGAGTGTCCTAAAAAGTGTAAAATATTTATTAAGAGGAGAGGGATAATATAATTTTAGTTTGGCCCTTTCTAGAACATATATGTCATTGGGTCTTCATAGTTCATAGTCTAAATTCTTTTGGTCATATTTGATGTTAACTCTCAAGAATTATAGTATGGTTTGGGGCCTTTTTTCCTTGAGCCTTATGATAACATTTAACTTGTCTGGTTACCCGTCACCATTCAATAATAAATTTAGAAGTAGGTAAGATGTTACCCTCACATAATTTAGTACAATAATGCTATTTCGATCTAATTTTCTAATATAATTTATTGTCTTAATCCATCACAATTATTAAATTAGAGGTCTTAATAACTACTAACGTTCATTGTCGATTATGAATGATTAAATCAATAAATTAGATCAAAGTAATATTGCTCAAGCAGTGAAATTTACTTGTTAGCTTATTATTGAATTTTGATGTTACGTGATAGTAATAATGTGATATCGAAACTCACAATGGAGCAATAGTTATTCTTCTTTCTACGCCTACCTAACCAACATGGCTCAAATAAACATTAGTCCTGCCTCTTTGTTTTTTTGAACCCAATGGTGATATTACATACATGTAAGACTACCTTGAT